CTAGGATTTTGTTGAAGATTTTTGCATCTATATTCATGAGGGATATTGGTCTGTAGTTTTCCTTTTGAGTGATGTCTTTGCATGGTTTTGGTATCAAGGTTATTCTTGCTTCATAAAATGAATTAGAGAAGATTCCATCCTTTTGTATGTTTTGGAATAGTTTGAGTAGAATTGGTGTCAGTTCTTCTCTGAATGTTTGGTAGAATTCTCCAGTGAAACTGTCTGAGCCAGCACTTTATTTTGTTGGTAATTTCTTGATGACCTGTTCAATTTCTTCTTTTGTTATGGATCTGTTCAACTTTTCCACATCAATCTGTGTGAGTTTAGGCAAGTGGTATGTTTCTAGAAATTTGTCCATTTCTTCCAGAATTTCAAATTTCTTGGAGTACAGTTCTTCATAGTATCCTGATATTATCCTTTTTATTTCAGTTGGTTCTGTTATAATGTCGCCCATTTTGTTTCTTATTCATGTTATTTGTATTCTCTCTCTTTTCCTTTGTTAATTTGCCAGTGATTTGTCAATTGTATTAATCTTTTCAAAAAACCCACTTCTGGTCTTGTTGGTTTTTTCTATTCTTTCTATTATCTGTTTCAATGATTTCTGCTCGAATCTTGATTATTTCCTTTCTTCTGGTGACTGTAGGCTTTTCTTGCTATTCTTTATCTAATTGCTGGAGATGTTGGTTTAAAGTGTTGATTTTGTCTCTTTCTTCTTTTTCTATGTGTGCATTTATTGCTATAAATTGCCCTCTGATCATGCTTTCACTGTGTCCCAAAGATTTTGGTACGTTGTGTTTTCATTCTTGTTTGATTCCAGTAATTTCTTAATTTCATTTTTTATCTCTCCTCTTACCCAGTCTTTCTTAAGGAGGGTGTTGTTCAGTTCCCATGTGTTTGCTCTTTTTCTGTTGATCTTCCTATTGTTGATTTCTAATTTATAGCATTGTGATCTGAGAAGATAATTTGCAGTATTTCAATGTTTTCAAATTTATTAAAGCTTGCTTTATGGCCTAACATATGGTCTGTCATGAAGAATGTTCCATGTGCACGAGGAAAGAATGTATATTCTTTTGCTGTTGTTGGGTGGAGTGCTCTGTACATGTCTATTAGGTCAAGTTGGTGGATTGTATTGTTTAGCTCTTCTGCATCTTTCCAGTTGTTCTATCTTTCATTGGAAGTGTTATATTAAAGTCTCCCACTATGACTGTGGGGTCATTTATTTGCCATTTCAACTCTTTAAAGTCTGATTTATGTATTTTGGGGCTCTTTCATTGGGTCCATAGATATTTATTATGGTTATATCATCTTTTTCAATGATCCTTTAATCATTATATAATGTCCTTCCTTGTCTCTTATGGTGGTTTTTGTCTTAAAGTCAATTTGATCAGAAATTAATATTCCCAGTCCTGCTCTTTTACGGTTGCCATTTGCTTGATATATCTTTTTCCAGCCTTTGATTTTTAGTCTATTTTTGTCTTTATCTCTAAGTTGTGTCTCTTGTAGACAGCATATTGATGGGTTATGTTTTCTTATCCAGTCTGCAACTCTCCATCTCTTGAGTGGTACATTTAATCCATTAACATTCAGTGTAGTTATCAGCAAGTATAAATTGCTTGCTGTCATTTTGTTATGTGTTTTTTCATGGTATTCCTAGTTTCTTTGTTCCATATAATTTTCTGTGCTGAGCTCATTATGTTTATGAATCATTTTATCATTCCTTTTGTTGCTATTGTTTTAATATTTTGATGCAAAAGTTTTGGAAATAGATGGTGGTGACATTACAGATGTGTGGTGGGTGAAAGTAATTAATGACATTGAATTGTACACTTAAAAATGATTAAATGGCAAATTTTATTTTATATGTTTCTTATAATAATAAAAATGGTTTATATAATGAATGTAGTTTACTATATTAGCAGAAAAAAACACATGACTAATCTCAGTAGATGCAGAAAAAGCATTTGACAAAATCCAACAGCCATTAATTGTTGCTTAAAAAAAATAAAAGTCTCAGCAAACTAAGAAAAGCCTAGAGTTAACATCCTGTGTGACAGTGAAAGACTGTGTGATCTACCCCTAAGATCAAGAACAAGACAAGGATATCTGTTTTCATCACTTCTGTTCAAAATTGTACCAGTTTTTAACCAATGAAATCAGGCAAGGGGAAAACAATAATAATAATAATAATAAGGTAAACCAGGCAGAAAGATAAAGGAAAATAAAAATATTAGTTCTAGGCAAAACAAAACAATAAGAACAGGGGGAAATTGAATCACACAGGGTTAACAAATTCCCACTAGATACTATATTTAAAGGAGTCCTTGGGTGGCCCAAATGGTTAAGATGCTCAGTTACCAACCAAAAGGCTGGAAATTTGGGCACCTCAGAAGAAATACCGGTGATCTCTTTCTGAAAAATCAGCCTTTGAAAACCTTGTGGAGCACAGTTCTACCTTTTTTTTCTCTCTCTCTTTTTGATACACATAGGGTGGACATGAATCAGAATCAACTGGGCGACAACTGATTGATGTATTTAACGATAAAAGCTTCCAATTTAAACACCAGCTAAGAACTGAATGATAAGATACTAGAATGAGGAGATAAACACAAATTCTACAGACCTTACTGAGACAAACACTTTCATATATTGCTTTTGCTAATTTCAATATATCATTCTTTGGGTATCACTAATATATCCCCTAAAGTGGATGGATAAACTACAAAACACTAGTAGAGGTGTGAAACACCTCAACATTTCTTTCTTAAATTCCATAGTCCAATGTTTAGTTTATTAACATTAAAGCAACAGAAACAGGAAATTAGAAAACAGACTCTCAAAACTCAAAACAGCCTCTTTTGAAAAACAGGAAACAGAGACAAAAGAAAGAGAAGATCTATAAAGTTTGTAAAAGTATGTGTAGTACTGGAAGAAGCTGTGTCCCAACCATAAAGTTAGTCACTTGTGTGACTTTGAGAATGAATTTTTAGTCTCATGGATTTGAGTTTTCCACACCTGTAAATAAAGGAATTAGACCAACTGCATTTCTTTCATAATTGTTGAAAATCTAAAATCCTACATTCTAAAAGAAGCATAAGGTAAATGAATTGAAACAATTATCTTTTCACTTTAGTTAAAAAGAAAAAAAGTTCTTTAATCTGAGTTCTGGTGGCATAGTGCCTAAGGCATGTGACAGCTAACCAGAAGGTTGGTGGTTCAAAACCCACCAGCCACTCCGCAGAAGGAAGACTGGGCAATCTACTTCCGTAAAGATTTACTACATCGGAAACCCAAAGACAGTCTCTACAAATTGGAATCGACTGGATGGCAGTGAGTTTGGTTTAGTTTTAATCTAAATTGAAGACATCAGAGAAGGCTTTTTGTTCTTTGGTTCATCTGAATGATAACTGTAGCTATCTTTTTAACCTTACTAACAATATGCCTAACTGTAAGATAATTGTTATGTGCAATTGATGTCATTTCCGTACCTTGTTTGAGCGTAATGACACTCGGCCTCCACAACGAGCACAGAACTTTGTTTGGCAATAGGAACAGTTATGGCCACAGCCATCAGCAAACTTGGTTTTGTGGCAGATCCCACAGGTTGGGGCATCGCCCTTCTGCTCCTGCTGCTGCTGTGATTCTTCTCCCATCTTCTTCACCTGCTCCTTATACATTTCAAACTGCTGATGCAATTTTCTGCGGAGAGAAAAGATGTTTTATATTGGCTTCTTGATGGTCTCAAAACAACAGTAATCGCCACAATCTGCAGACACAATTTTATAACCAAAACAATTCAGAATAAGAAAAAAATAATTAAAATTTTCTAATTATAGGGTAGCATCATGTGTGGTACATCGTATCACAAAAGTGTTGTAACGAGTTCTGTCCTCTGACATGCATGTTAATTTAAGAACCAATTAATAATGTGTTTACAGAGATAATTCTTTGATATAATTCTAAAATTCCCACCTACCATTTGTAACATAAATTCTATCATATGCTCTAAGATTTTTACATTATTTTTCAACAATTTAGTTTCTGAAATAGAGAGAGCTAATCTGACTTACACATGAAGCCAAACTTTGTGATTTTCAAGCAATTGAGACTGAGTCTAAATTGGAGTGATCAGCATATTCAAACAGAGGGAAAAACACTGGATGAGTGCTCTCACTAATTATTTAAATCTGTTCAAAAGTCTGGACATTAGGTGCCTATAAAAACACTATGAAATATTAGGAGCTGAAGTGAGAAGAATTGTGGGGACACGGCAATCAATGTTACAAAACAAAAAGTGCATGAATTGTTGAACAGAAAATCAAAATTGTTCTATAAACTTTCACCCAAATCACAATAAAAAGTTAAAAAATAGTAATAAAAATATTAAGAGCTGACCAAGTGAGGCTGTGCAAATCAAACTAAACCCAATTTCACTTTGAAAGTAAAACAAAAAGATTTTTTTTAAATACCTAGAAACAGTTATTATTTACTCTAATTAGTGTAATTAGTATAATTACATATAGTGATATATATATAGTGATAAAACTTTTCACTTACATTGTCTTTATAAAGAAAACTGAAAACGTTTAAAAACAATTAGTCCTGCTTAGAAGTAGAAAGCTCCCATCTTAACAACGACACAATGATGAATAATCTACAAATTATAACTTATCCTAAATCCATTAGACAGTTGAAGTTATAAGGCAATCAAATAATCTGAATTCCAAAGAGTGACAAGTCCCACTAACAAGAAATGGGATACACTGTTTCACCTTTGGCAGAACATAGGAGAAAGTGGTGGCCACCATACAGGCAAGTAAGAAGAAATCAGCTAAAATTTTAACAAAACTGTTATAGGCCAAGTGTGGGTTAGCACGACAGTCTGGAATAACAGGGGGCCCGAGACTCAAGGGAAGTTCACAACACCTGCAAGCATATAAGCCCTTCACAAGGTAATCATGAGACAGCATGGCAGGAAAACAAAGAAAACCTACTCCTTTTTTGGGGGAGACACATATGCAGGTGTGAAAGAGGTGACTAGTGGCTGCTGGGTGACAGGCATAGTGCTCCAGGACCTTCTCTCCTAAAAAAAACCTAAAACTTTTAAGCCATTAGGGAAAGTGACTGTCATCCTCAGGACACAGGCAAAGATCCACTGCAGCTAGGGGAAAGGTCGAAGGGAAAAAACCTCCACCCAAAAAAGAGAAGGAACTCTCTTGGGCCCAGGAACCTACTCTGATAAAAATCGTAAGTCTTTTATCACTAAAGGAGGGGCAGAAACTCCCATCACCACTTTCTCCTGGCCTCCACCAAAGATGAAACAGTTAGAGGTGTCTCATTTCTCCTTGATGGGACTTGGCACTATTTGGAATTCACTTTACTTCATAGCCTTATAACTTCGACTGTCTGATGGGTTCAGGGAAAATCAGAGACATCTATAAAGTACAAGAAAAAAAATGTCAATCTGGGACCCCATACCCAAATTATGTTTCAAAAAATGAAGGAAAAGTGAAGACTTTTTCAGACAAACAAAAGCTAAAAGAATTCCTTGATGGTAGATCTGTACCATAAGGAACTTAAAAGAAGTTTTTGAGGCTGGAGTATGACACAAAAAGCCATTACCATTGCATCGATACTGACTCACAGCAACCTTGTAGGACACAGTAGAAATGCCCTATAGGGTTTCCAAGGCTGTAAATTGTTATCGAAGCAGACTGCCTCATCCTTCTCCCATGGAGTGGCTGGTGGGTTCAAACTGACAACCTTTCACTTAGCAGTCAAATGCCTAACCACTGTGCACCAGAGCCTAGGTATATATCTTTGTATACTCCTTGGAAATATTGCATGGAAAACTGGAACAATGCATATAAATAAATGTTTACATTAAAAGGAAAAATGTCTCAAATCATTAATTTGTTTCCATAAGAAATTAGAAAATAATAGAAAATTTAACTCAAAGAAAGCAAAAAAAAGGAAATAAATAAAGATTAAAGCAGAAATCAATGAACCCAAAGCTGGTAACGTGAAAAAATTAACAACATTGATAAACCTTTACTCAAAATGACCTAGGTGAAAAGGAGTCTCAAATTACCTACAGCAAGAATGACAGAGTAGACATTATTACAGACTTCACAGACATAAACATTTTAAGTATATACTGCAAACAATTTGATAATTCTATACCCATTATACAACTTGTAATACAACTTGTATTATACAACTTATATGAGAAATGTACCATTTCCTTGAAAGACAGAAACCACCACATCTTCTTAAGAATAAATAGCATGAATCCTGTTTCTATTAAAGAAATTTAAGTCTTAGTTTAAAAAACCTTCTAAAAATTAAAACTCTAGTCTGGATGGTTTCATCAGTGAATTCTACCAAACACTTAAAGGACAAAAAATACCAATTATACACAACTTCTTCCAGGAAATAAAAGAAGAAACATTTTCTAACTAATTTCATAAAGCCAGAATTACTTTGATACCAAAACCACTGTACATATAGAAAGATATTACAAGAAAAGATATCTATACACCAATATTCTTCATGAATAAATGTAATAATCCTCAGCACAATATTTGCATGTGAAAATCGGTAATATATTAAAGGATAATACATTACAGATGATATTTAACCTAGAAATCCAAGTTTGCTTCCATATTCTAAAATCAAGTAATGTAATTCACCATATTAACAGACTAAAGAGGGAAAAAACACATGATTAGCCCAAAATAAGGTGAGAGAAATCACTTGATAAAACTGCTCAGCAAACTCAAAATAGACAGAAATTTCCTTAATCTGGTAAGGGCATCTACAAAAGAATCTACAGCTAGTATTAGACTGAATGGTAAGAGATTGGGTGCTTTTTCCCTAATAACAAGAACAAGGCAAGGTGTCTTCTCTCACTACATTTAATTAACATCAAACTGGAAATCCTAGCCAATGTATTAAGGCAAGAAAAAGAAATAAAAGTCATGCAAATCAGAAAGAAAGATATAAAAATGTCTCTGTGCAAATGGTTAACTGTCTATGTATAAAACCCCAAAGAAACTAGACAAAAGCTCCTGTAAAAAGTAAGTGATTTTAGCAAGGTCACAGAATAAAAGATTTATATATAAAATTCAATTGTGTTTTTATACACTAGCAATGAACAACTTGAAATCAAAAATTTAAAAACAGTCTGCAACAGCCAAAAGAAAGAAGGAGGGAGGGAGGGAAGGAGGAAGGAGGGAGGAGAAAGAGAATGGAGGGGACAGAGGGGAAAGAAAAGGGAAAGAAAAACTCAGGTATAAATCTAACAAAATATGTGGAGGCTTTCTATGGTGAAAACTGTAAAACACCGATAAAGAATCAAAAGAGACCTAAATAATAGCAGAAATATATTGTATTCTTTGATGAGTAAAATCAACATTGTTTATTCATCAATTATTTCCAAATTGATCTATAAATTCAATACTGTCCCACTCAAATCTCATCACAATATTTGTAGAAATTGACAAGCTGGCTCTAAAATGTACACAGAAAAGCAGAAGACCTAAAACAGGCAAAATATATTGAAAACAAAGAAAGTTGAAGGATTCACACTACCTGATTTCAACACTTACTATAAAAGTAACAGTAATCAAGCCAATACGGTATTGGCCAAAGATAAACAATAAGTCAATGGAATAGAATAGACAATCCAGAAATAATCCAACATTTATATGGTCATTGATTTTTTTATACATGTGTCAAGATAATTTAGTGCAGAAAGAATACTCTTTAAAGCAATGAGAAAATTACATTTAAAAAAGTAACTGGAATCCATGTTGAAAAATAAATAATCCTGAATTCAAATCTCACATTTTATACAAAAATTAATTCAAACAAACCAGACCTAAATATACTGACTAAACCTGTATGATTTCTACAAAGAAACATTAAAGAAAAATTTGGTGACTTTGGTTTAAATAATGACTTCTTAGATAAGTTAGGCAAAGATTGCTTCAATAAGACATGAAAAGCATGAATCAGAAAGCAGCTGTTGACATACAGATATTCCTCAACCGATGACATCTTTTAGTTACAATTAACTGTGCTTACAATTGTCCATTCCTTTGGGTTATTTTTTTGTACATTTTATCATTAGTAATATGCACTACATACAATATTGCAGTATATAATTTGCTGATGTTATCATATATGTAAGTTTATATGTCATGTTTCCAACACCCAAAGACAATAAAAATTGGATTTATAGATATTGATAATAAAAGGCAATAATAATGAAAACTAAAAAAAAAAAAAGAAGAAGTATTCGACTTACATCAGAATTGACTTACAATAGAGTAGTCAAAACAGAGCCCTATTGTAAGTCAAGGACTACATGTCCATCAATGAATGAGCATGGCTGTATTAACACTGAGTTTTAATTTTGTGTCTTTTTGCAGCAACAAAATATTATCCTTTTTTAAATTTTGTTCAACTATTTTAAAATATAAAAACCACTCTTAACTCACCAGTTATAAAATACAGACAGTGGGACTGATTTGGCTACAGGGCACAGTTTGCCCATTCCTATACCCACCAGCCACTCCTCGGAAGGAAGGTTGGGCAATCCTACTTCCGTAGTGATACTGCCTCGGAAACCCAAGGAGGGGTCGCTATGAGTCGGGCCGACTCGACAGCACATAACAACAACAACAAATACAATA